CCCCAAAACCCCAAAACCCCAAAACCCCAAAACCCCTTTCTATTCACATAAAATTGACTACTGTACTGCTTAGGTTTTAGTATTAGGTTACTTTTTAAAGCTATTTTCGAGGGATTTCAGCTGAAATCATTCGAAGATGACGTCCCTGTAGGCAGGAACTTCGAGCTGTTTCGCGAATACATGTACCTCTCTCATTTTGTCCTTGTCAGAGAAGTCCTTTTCTGTCTTCATTATGTTGGAATAATATTCGTAGCATTTTAGTAGTTTGGACTCGTCAGGCACCATTTTTACCATCTCTGACCATTTTTCAGAGAGTTTTGGGTGCTGGAATGATGATACAGACTGGGAAGGCTCAGCCAACGTGCTATAATAGGTTATTAAAAAGGTACCTCTGAGCCATTGTTGATGGCAAATTTGTTCGAGATGCTCCTACAGTATTTTTAGCATCCTCTTCTTGACAAGACATTGATATCTCTTGCTCCTCTTTTATTTCATCCAACGCCGAACTACCAAAGGGAGACATGATGTAGTTCTCTTCATCATCGAAATGGACATCATTTGCATCGAATGGATTATATTCTTCGTCATCATATTCTTCGTAGTAGCTATCATATTCTCCTTCTCCCGAATCGAATTGTCCGAATGAAGAGTCATCAGAGTCATCTTCAGGATAATCCTTTGTTTCTTCTAGATCTCCTTTGAAGGTATTAACTACATCAAACTCTTCATGTATTTTCTCTGTTTTATCAAAGTCATTTTGGGGCTTATCATGCTCTTGTTCAGGCAAGTCTTTGGAAGAATTAGAATTTTTAGAGCATTTCCCGCCCCTTCCTTGCTTAGCCTGACTGATTAGCAGAGATGTCTTGTTCACTTTCTGAGGCTTCTTTGACTCCTCACTTTCTTTCTCCTTGGTAATTTTTGGGTAATGGTTTTCGTCAATTTGACTCAAAGGTACAGAAAGATCGATTTGATTTTGTTCGTAAGACGCCTGCTTGCTTACCTTCTCATGCTCCTTCTGCTCTTCTTCTGGGACATTATGTTCATCTCTTGGATCTACCTGGGGCATTTCTTGACCATTCTCAACAGCTTTGGACTCTTCCTTATTATTTTGAGAATAATCTTTCTTAACCTCAAGTTCTTTAGCTTGTGGCTTCTGAATAATTGGCCTGAAAGCTTGCTTTCTATTCTCAAACAATTTTTCTGCCTTTTCCCTTTGAGATTGTCTGTCTTCAATCTCTTTTTTACTGTTATGAGGAGACTTTTGAGAATTTTTAGAGGCTCCTGCTCTGTTTTCATTCCATGGCTTATTATAATTCCTAGCTGGGTTTTTACTACTAGTCGGTCTTTTATTAGCAGAAGGAGTAATATTGGTACCCTTTGTGTTTTCTGAGTTTCTTTTACCTGCCTTATTCACTTTGGCTTTAGTATTCTGCATTTGTGAATAAGTTGGTCTGAGATAATTTGCTTTCTTAGTTTCCTTCGGCTTAGCCTTCAAATTTCCCAATACACCCTTAGACGGGCTTCCAATACCTGGAATCTTTAGGATAGAATCAGCAACGGTAGTTACGTCATCAATTGAATCAGTGGTTTTCTTTCTCCTTTTAGTGCTCTTTTTATTTTTGGATGAATTTTTGCTACCTTTACCTTTGCAGACCTTGCTTACATGGTTGAACTTCCTGGTGCTCCTGAGAGTTTTCTTCGTAAGTGTGTTTTTAAGCCCGGTGCCATTACTTTTATTTGTATGTCGTTAGGAAGTCAGTCCGCTGTTCTTCAACTTGTTGCTTAATCTCTTCATCAGTAGGAATGTATATTTGCAGATTAGCTGCTTCATCAACTACTTTTTGGTTTTCTAAAATCTGCTGAATTGTTGGCCGATCTTTACAGTTCTTCTGCAGACAATGATCTATGATTTCTGCCAACTCTTTGGTATAAAGTTTAGGAATAGGTTCATAGTTTCCTTTTATAATTTTGAGGAAAAGACCTCCTTGAGTTCTTGCATCAAAAGGATGCCGTCATGTGCACAGCTCGTATAGAATTACACCCAGAGACCATATATCACTTTTATTGTTGTATGGTCTTTCCTCACAAAGTTCAGGTGAAAGGTAATATGGTGTCCCAACTACGGTATCAGTATGTGTTTCACTCATCTCTTTCGCTACACCTAAATCTCCGATTTTCAAAGTCATATCTTGATTGAGGAACAGATTTATAGTCTTGAGATCTCTATGCAGGATTTTCCGTGTATGAAGATATTGGACACCAAGACAGGTCTGAATGAATATCTTCCAAATTTGATTTTCTGCTAATAACTTATCCTTTCAATTCTTTTTGAGGTACTGACCTACATCGCCGTTGTCCATATATTCAAGGAGGATGCATATGAACCCTTTGTCTTCAAAATGACTTTCATATTTGACTATATAATCATTTTTGATGGTCTTATGTATCTCGAATTCTTGCTCAGCATCTTGGAGATCTTCTTTACTCATCCCCTTTGTACTGATCTTTTTGAGGACATATATACCCCCTGTCTTCTTATGTTGGACTTTGAAGACAGTTCCGAATGAGCCCTCCCCTAATTTTTCCAATTGCTTAAAGTCAACGAGTTTATCCTCAGACATTTGAGTATTCTCGACTAATATTATTTAAATTTTGTAGGAATTTGGGGTTTTGGGGTTTTGGGGTTTTGGGG